TTTCGTCAATTTCCTTCAGCTTTTTGCTTCTAGTTTCCATTGTATGCTTTTGTTCGAAATCGATTACCAAGCAAATGTGAAATTAATCCAAACGTATTCGCCCAATAATAACAAAAATGTCCAAAAGTATCCAAAATATAACCAAAGAACCAAAATTGAATTGTCCAAAGTATCCAACGACCAAATTAAAAGTTAGAAGAACTTTTGGACCCAAATTTCCAAAAGTTTCCAACGACCAAAATTTGAATTGAAGAACCTCTGGAGCCAAACGACCAAAAGAATACAGTGTATGACGAAAATAAAATAGAAGAACTTTTGTTACGTCCAGTTTTTTGCTTTTTGATCCCTCGAAGCACGGTTGTCGATCTATTTGCAATTCACGATTCCAAATGTTAAATAAGAACGAAACTCCAAAGTCGATACCAAAGTTTATTCCAAATCACAAAATCGACCAAAATATGTTATTACAACAATAATTATAATAATTACAATTACCTTCTATTTTATAGGTTCTTGGAGCAAAAAACTGCAAACGAACAACCAAGAGAAACGGGAGTCCAAAATGGCAGAAAATAATAATTCAAACAAGTTCATAAGTTAAGTAAAACAAATATACCCGAAAAACAGTGAAATTAATGATATTTATATATAAAGGTTTTGTTCAGCAAAATGTCTTCATCCCTCCCGTAACAGTCTACGCCCTCTCAAAATGGCCAGAAATCAGCCGTGTAACGCAGCCATTGACGACAAAATTTTACAACTGGTCTATGAAATTTTCTCCCGAAACGGCATACCGGATGTAATTGTATCTGACGACGGCTCGCAATTTACCTCAAGCCAATTCCAAGTTTTCTGTCAACGGCTAGCCATCAAGAACTCGTAGTCACTACCATACCACACTCAGTCGAATGAGTTGGCGGAATGGTTTGTGGACACGTTTAAGTGAGCATTGGTTAAGTTGAAAGGGGAGGGGACACCAGAAGGCGCTTTACAAAATTTCTTGTACGTTTATCGAACAACACCAAATTAGATGTTGCCAGAGCAAAATTACCCAGCAGAAATCCTGATAGGAAGAGGACTGAAAACGATGAAAAGCCTGATGCACCCGAGTAACGCATCAGTACAAGTACAGACAAAGTCTGAAAGGCAGTCCATATACAAAGTGGAATGTCCCGTGTTTGCCCGTGCCCACAGACCATGGTTTGGTCTGTGGACAGGAGTGTGATTGGTCAGAAGAGTTGGCCGTGTCATGAAAGAAGTAGAGGTAGGAAGCGGTAGATGGAAATACCTTTGGAATCAGATATACAAACAGCTAACCCTAGATAGCCGATCAACAGAAATAACTCTTCCTCTTGACATCCTGCCAGATAGCTTCAATTTACTGACAGCCTCACCACGAGAAAAAGCTCAACAACAAGCCTACGTAAGTTCCAGAAGGTGGCCTCCCCAACGGTGGCGAACAAGAGTCAAGATGCAAGTCGACCACAGGAACGTACGTCATGAAGAAGGGAAGGAGTGCCGAAAACGTTAGATCCGCAGAACTCACTTGGGAAAGGTCCTAATTTCGAGATTTTGAATTTTATGTCTTCATGCAGAAGACACCTATTCTGACCTTCAGCTTGCATTTCCCGCTTGTGAAATCCTTGACTGTTAATGGATGATGGATTATTTTAGTACGATATTATGTGGATCTGAACAAGGGCGTTTTATCAGTGTATGAATGAGCTTGAGTTGTGTGCGTGTGTGTTGGGTATGTTAGATCCCCAGAACTCGTTTGATAAACGCCTTATTTTGGATTTCACTTTTACGAGCATGGGCTGATCAGTTTACCTTGAGATTTCATTTCTCACCAGCAAAATCCATGGTTGTGATTGTCTGCTGTGTATTTTAGTGTGCTATTTTTGTGACTCTCTCAAGGACGTTTCTATGATGGATAAATAAACGAGAGTTGTATGCTTGATTGTATTGTGATTGCTGGGTGTTTGTAGAATATACTTTCTACGCGTACAAAGCCTTTTTACTTCAGCCTCGGATTCAAGGTAGCCTACCTGGACGCTGGTAATTGTGTCGTTCGCGTTTATCGACTAAGATATGCTCGTAATAGCCTCAAGCATACTTAGTGACGAACCTAACAGTATGGACCTCGTACTTTGTGGTTGCCTGTGGAACACATTCTCTGCGTCTTATCAAGACTTCTTCCTCTAGTAAGCGGGGCCTGGGACGATCGAATTAGAGTAGCCTATCGTGTAGCATATGAGACTGCTTTTATGTAGGAAGTTTGGTGATAGGAAGGTAGGTAGCTGAAGAATATAAGAGGAGAAATGGTGTCAAAAATTAATGAGTAAAGTGACAAATTGGTAAGTAAGCAAGATGTTTGGATGTTAATGAATCGGAAAAACAAAAATTTAATAAACTGTTAATACTTAAGAAGGAACTCACAGTGACACAGGAAGTTCGACTACCTTGTAATTGACAGTAGCTGAGCAACATCTTCAGGCTTTTCAATTTTTCTGTTTACTAGAAATAAAAAATAAGGCCGATGTGAAGATAACAAAATAATGATTGGAGTTTAAATTTTAAGAATAGTGCAAATGTCACTGGTAGCACCTCAAAGGCGTAAACTTTTACTGTTATTAGGAGTAGGGGGATTCGTCAATCATTTCTTGATACCTGTATAGATACAGTATGTTCATGGTTTCGAAAGGTAATCTAAATATTTGATGGACCATATAAGAGTGCCTCGGAACTCAGTGTGAGTTCCGGGAATAGTTGATAAATCTTTTTAGAGTCTAACAACAGCAGTACTAATTTCTTGAACTTGGTGATTGTGTCACATATACGGATAGTAATTGGTAATCTGTTCCACAACTGAAGGATTTTTTGTGTTTCGCCGTTTATAGTGTATATGCGTTGTTTCTAAGTCTGTAAGCAGTGTCGTGGTTCATAATTGGGCGGTATTTTACGAACAAGAGAACATTTATCAGTGTACAGAGAATTATTAGGTTGTTTTCCAAACGACGGATATATCGTGAAATCTTCGTTAAAGATTAACGTTTTAAAATTTTATATACAACAGACTGCATATACCCTTACCATATACGAGACCCTCGAATTTTGTTTAAATAGCTTTCTTTAGGGAAGAACTATAACAGCTGAGAAACGTGATCCAGATGTTTTGAAACAATGAGTAAGTTTTAAAGCTTGAGTGTTTGTATTGATGATGAATGTAGTTTCGACCAGGTTTCTTCTTAGAAAAACTGTCTACAAACCAGCTTAACCCTAATATTAATGTATGTACAAATTTATTAAGCCTCGATAAGACATCATAACTCATAAATAACTCATCTAGCTGTCACTGAATAACAGTACCTACTTCAGCGAGTCACGTACTAAATTCCTAACAGGATAATCTTGAGAAAATTCAACATCTTCAAGACACAAAAGATAATATTAATCATTTTAAAGCAATCAAATACCAAGTGATATGAAACAGGCGGAAAACGCAAGTGAATCAACCTATCGAAGTATTTCCACGTGATTAATTTCAAACCTACTAAATATCTTAGAACTTTAAAGTTAGATAAGGACATATCAAGTCTGAGAGGTAGTCTGCATAATTCTGTCTCATTTTGAAAATTTCGGTTTTTGGAAGACGTGTAAATTTATTTCTTTTCTCACAGAATAAAGTGCATAAGTAAGAGGGATTAACAACGAGCTGTACTTAATGACTAACTTCTCAAGCACTTTATACAACCAGTCAACCAACACAAATGCAAAGTTCTGAATGTGGAAAGCGTATTCTTTTTTTATGTAACAGGTAATGTGCATTTTAAGACATTAAATTGAATGTAAGCAAAATGTAAACTAACTTCACTAACTACTGATAAGGAATTCAAAATAAACAGTAAATCACTATAATACTGCGTTTGTACCAATTTCATTCATTACTGTTAGTGTATAATAACATTTGTAGCGTTCACTAATACAAGCCGTTTCTACAACATACAATATAAAAGTCAATTACAAAATAGTTACTGTTGAACAGAACAGCTGCTATTTAAATATGTAGAAATATTTCGTCATCACAAATTATTGAGTTCGTTAGAGTGACTAATGTTTATTCTGATTAAAAGCTTAAATAAAGAACAGTAGAAATTCTCTATTCGTGAATATATTTTCACCTTGAGAATTAAAATGTATAGAAATCAGAAGAATTAACAAGAATATTTTCATCACATTCCTCATGCTCGTTCGTCTTTTATAATTTGAGCCTAAAAATGAAACCGTACAATTTATGCACTCCTTAAATACTCGTTTACATTACTTTACTAACAAATAACTTCACTGTTTACACAGAACACTTTACAAACGGCATTAAAATAACAAATTTAATTAAATTTCATATTGATTCGATTGAATTGACTAGCGGTAAATAAAATAGCCTGAAATCAACTAACTCACCTCTTTATTCAAGAAATAAACATTCAGTTTTATTCATAATTAAAATCATGCTCAACATTTTGTGACTTGTTAGTCACAATGTGTATGTTTGTGTACATATTGAATTTAGTAAGCATAATCAATAATCAACCTATAATTTCATTTGTTTTATTTTGATCAGACCGAACAATGAGGAAAACACAATCATTCCTCTAGACTGAATAATGTCACATCTGTACACATGTAAAGAGGTTATAGTGACAGTCTAGAGGAATGATTGTTTGGTCTGATCAAAGGAAATTATATGTTGAAAATAATGCTTACTAAATTCAATATGTACACAAACATACACATTGTGACTAACAGTCACAAAATGTTGAGCACGATTTCAGTATGAATAAAACTGAATGTTTATTTCATGAAATGAGTTAGTTGATTGCAGGTTATTTTATTTACCGCTAGTCGGTCAATTCAATCGAATCAATATGAAATTTAATTAAATCTGTTATTTTAATGCCTCCGTTTGTAAAGTGTTCTGTGTAAACAGTGAAGTTATTTGTTAGTAAAGTAATGTAAACGAGTATTTAAGGAGTGCATAAATTGTACGGTTTCATTTTTAGGCTCAAATTATAAAAGACGAATAAGCATGAGGAATGTGATGAAAATATTCTTGTTAATTCTTCTGATTTCTATACATTTTCATTTTCAAGGTTAATTAACTATATGTAATATTGTGTATGTTAAATCTATGTGAATATGTTGATACAATTTTTCATCATTTGGTGATTTACAAGAAATCTCAGAAAATTAATACTGTTGAATATTTTATTAGTATATATATATATTGTATTTTACGGACTGGAAACAATTTATTTAAATTCTAGACATTTCTTTTAAAATTATCTGAGAATACTTGAATTTTGGTGTTATCTTTTCTGTTATATCGTTATTTTAGATGCTGCATGCTGTGGAGGTGCTAACGAAGATACAAATAAACAATCGGATGCAGAAAATCCTGGATTAAATTCAGGTAGTAATAATCCTGATGATGGAGGAACTATTCCAGATTCGATATTTGCTTTCGATCCTTTCCTTGCTTAAATTGTCAAGCGATTAGTATTATATTAAAGTTATGAAATTTTTCTACATCTTAACATTATGTTTATTAATTTAATATATATTATTGTTCTGTTAATAATAATGCATTTTATTCACATTCACCTGTATTTCTTATTTGGGAAGTAGATTGTGTGAAACTTTATAGTTAGCAAATGTTGTACGTTGTAAAAGTAGCAAGCTAGAATGAAGTGATTTTGTAAGATAAGTTGATAAAACATTCTAGGTTTGTCATTGGTTTGAATTATACAACAAACAAATTAATGATTTATTATTGAATTATATAAAACATAATTCGTTTTTTATTTGTAACCATGAATCGATCAATGTTAGACCACCATTAGAAACCTGGAAGCACTGGACGGCCATTTCGTCCTGGTATGGGACTCATGGTTACAAATAAAACTTAACAATCTTCACAACAACCCTCCAAATGCAATTACATGTGTTCACTAGTGACTAGCTTGGTGAGGAATCTTCTCCGAGTTCTAGTGGGAAGTTGTGACCAGTGAAGTTCAAACCTGTTCGGATGTATACAGTGTATGAGGTTGCGCAACTCCATGAATTTGATCAAGTTAGACATTAACACCGTTAGATACCGGCTCAGTGGTCTAACGGTTAGGGCGTTCACGCACAATACCGAAGGTCCTGGGTTCGAATCCTGAGGGGTGCAGGAGTAGCGGATGCGCACTGCTGATGAGTCCCATACCAGGACGAAACGGCCGTCCAGTGCTTTCAGGTTTCTAATGGTGGTCTAACATTGATCGATTCATGGGTACAAATAAAACTTACCAATCTTCACAACAACCCCGCAATATATTTCGTTTATATTAAATCATGAATAAAACTTGAAGAAATATGAATGTAAGGTGTATTAAAACGAAAGCAGAAACCTTGATTCACATTAGAGTTGAAAATATCTTAAAAATTTGATTGTAATCACCGATGAATAAATGTAATATTAGAAATCTCAAACTGCGCTATAATTTCTCGTTCATTATGTCAATAAAAATTTGAAAAATACGCGAAAAAAAGAAAGATCCGCGAAATTTAATTGTGCTGGTATGTATTGGATATACATACAACCAATACTGTCATCATTAAAAAGAACACATTATTGACGTTAACAGTATAAAAATACTATAATAAATAATTAGTAATACATCTAATATAGACATGCTGAGTTTGGATTGTGTAATTCATGTATTCGATGAAGTCACTTTCTTAATTGTCTGTCATCTGTTTCTCAAAAACAATCATTCTCATTATGGAACTCTCGATTGGCGTACATCACTAGAAATTGTGAGCAACTTTAGATGTATTCAGTCTCAGTTATTTATTGACTCCGAATTATTCTCATTTCCACTCTGTCAAAATAATGGTTGGAACTCAGTTGTGCTTGAGTTATCATTGATATTGTGGTTGATTCACGATAACTTAAGATGTTGTTGAGTTGTCTGATTTGGGTGGTTCGATGATGATAATTCTTTTGGTCTATCTATCCAGCTTAACCATATATATAGGTTGCGTTTGTATTTCCAGTGGTCTGCGTCGACAGGGTCAAGGACTTGTTGAATGCATCCTTTCGATAACTCTTTTATTAAATCATTCCCTCTTCAAAGAAACAAGAAAATTTTACATTGAGTAAAGAATAAGCGATCACCGCAGAGATTGTCTCATATATTAGGAAGCATTTTCAAGAAACGTTGTGGCCAGTTCATGGAAAAACAGGTGATTCTCATTTGAATCTTGCGATAATCAAGAGTCTTTGTATTTCGAACACGAACTCGTAACAGCCAGAAATGTGCAATTCGTAGTCTGGTAGTCACTCTTGGGTCAGTCTTCAACTCAAGAAGAACTACGTTGGCACAAACAGGAATATTTTATTTCGAAGTTGAATTTCACACGGAATAATGTACAACGGAACGATTGTTGTCTACAATCATCATAAATTCGCATGTTTATTTTCGACAGCGTGATGTGAGTGTGGGAGAATAACACCGTCCACGTATGTGATGTGTGAAAACCTCCTTGTTTAACACTGTCATAATATACATAACATCTGGCTGGTTGCCTGTAGTAATTAGAAGTATATGTATCAAGAATTAAGATATGCACAAACGAATGTATTGTATTTAGAATTCGAAATCAAGCATTTCACAACCACAAGAAGTCACTAGTTAATTCAAACATCACATCCGCCACAGCTTAAATTGGAATCCTAGTGTCTGTAATCAATCGTACGTCTTCTTCTCAAATTCATCCTGTGTCTGTCCGACAGTGTATTGGATAAAGGCTCTGTATTATCTAGAATGCTCTCATTAGTATTAGAATTAACAACCGAAATTGGAACAGACTCACCTGGCTCTTGGAATTGTATTTGATCAACATGTCGATTGTGTGTACTTAAGTCATTGATATCTAGAAGTCGCACCATAGATTTCCCGACATTCTTCAGAACAATCCCCGTGGATGGTCGAAGATCGTTGCTACGATAATATGTAACTTCTGCAGACTCCACACATCTCACATTCGACCGAAGAATTCTTCCTTTTAATAGCTTTGATGTCTGGCATTTCTATATTGCAGTAGAAAGGTATCTACTCCCCTCTCCAGCTCATTAAATCTTGAGGCGGCAATAGAATCAATAGCAGTTTTCATACCTCCACTGCACTTAGCACACGTGGCTATGGAATCTTTAAGTAAAGCATCAGAATTTTCTTTAGAAACTAGGAGAGACAACTCCACTTTAAGCCTTTTCAAATTCTTTAAGCCCAGTATTGACAGTCCCGTTTCGCTAACTAAGAATTCACATGGTATGTATGAGGAATTATCATCTCTTATTAGCAATTCACAACATCCTCGTATAGGCAGTCTGTGTCCAGTAATCCCCAATATTGATACTTCAGTGGGTCGTATCACAACGTTCGGATCTAACGATTTCAAGTTCTTGAATGAAATAATGGACTCTATACTGCCTGTGTCCACAATAAAGTCATGAAATGAACCAAGCGATGTATATAGTCGCTTTTGAATATGAGCATTACCTTTCGAAATGGTAGACAAAGATAAATGATCATTAGGATCAGCTGAATTATTGGAATCTAAATTACAAGCTTTAGTACTACTTGAGGCAAAATGAACAGTAGCTTTGCATACTGCTTGAATGTGTCCTATCTTACCACATCTAAAACATTTAGCATTACGAAATGTACAATAATAACGAGAATGAAGTTTTCCACATGATAAACATTTGCCAAACTTGGTCTCACCTTTTTGATTTCCTTTGTAATTCTTTTTTGAGACACCGTTCATTTTTACACGAGAATCGGAACCTCTGTTAAACGAACACAATTTTGATTGACCCTGAGATTGTTTTTCATCATGACAACTAATCAAAGTATTGGAAATCTTCATCGACTGAATATCAAGTTCATTCAACGCCTCGTAGTTAATGCACGCAGTTCTAACATCTTGAAAGGAACAGTTTGACATTCTTAACAGCTCTCTTTCCAAACTAGGTATGTTAATTCCTGCAATTAATCGGTCTCTCAGCTGCACATGAAGTTGATCACCAAAATTACATTTGACAGCCTGTTTCTGCAATTCAAGAATAAATTCCTTAACATTTTGTTCATTTTGACGAATCATCTTATGAAATTTCGCCCTTTCACGGCATTCAAAACCAGGGCACTTTACATGATTCGATAATAACTCCTTTAGCATAGCATAGGGAAGTAAAATATGTATCTCTGGATATGCCAAGGTTTTCATTAAGTTGTACGCTTCTTTTCCGATGAATGTTAGGAAATAAGCCACAATTTTATCATCTTTGACATCTTTCCTGGTCATACTCCAGATTTCAAACCTTTCCAAATAATCTTCGAAAGCTTCAGAAGTAGAATGAATATCTAAATGTTCCATTACAAGTTCCATCGCGACGCCAGTGTAGTATTTAGAAGTATATGTATCAAGAATTAAAGATATGCACAAACGAATGTATTGTATTTAGAATTCGAAATCAAGCATTCAACAACAACAAGAAGTTACTAGTTCATTCAAACACCACATTTCCACCAATGTTTTATTTCGGCCAATGTACGGGAACCTCAATTCAGTCACAAAGCACATCCATGTCCTATCTTTTGCGACATAAATATGTGGTAACGCTATCCAAGTAACATGTTACGTGAATAGTTTGTAGTGACTCGAGTCTAGATTATGTATGAAAACCACTAGAAACCAATTTGGTTCCTATCATTGATGCTTACTTCGTCGTAAACCAAAAACAGAGGTGAAGATAAAGTCCAAACGAAGGTGAATATTTGCTGGCGATTTCGTGGTACCGAAAGAATACCGTAATCGTATCAGAAAAAATTGGCGAAGATACAATCAGTAGTATAAACAAGATGGAAACCAAGCAAGTAGAAAGTGTGTGAGCAGAAGTACGAACAAACAAGAAGTTCAGTAACAACCACTGGTACAATTCTTTATGATAATGAATTTTTCAATTCAACCAATCGCGTTCTGTTCGTGGAGTCACTGGATGCTTTACACAAAATAAACCGTCACTGGCATGTTGACACTGGAAGTGTTGCGCTTTCAAAACTCCATTGAGAGAGAACAATATATTCCTCATGTTTCGGGACCACAATGGTTTTATGTGTTAACACTGAACAACACTCAGTGACGACCTTGGCATGTCACTGCCCATTATGTAGGTGGAGCACAACTTTATCAGTGTAGTTTATCCCCAATTTGAGTTCATACATATATGCAGGTGAATTTGTGTGGATGAGTATTACTAACAGAGTTTGTGTATGTTGACTAAACTGTACATGGTATTTTAGGTATATTGCCTCAGCTGATAGACTAGCAAGATTTTCCTCTGTCAATAACACTGATCGAATGTGGCGCATCTCAACTACGCGTTTTCTTTTGTCCTGTGATAGTTTGTCACCAACTGATTGTCCATTTATAACACTGACTCTAGTAGTTGAACAATGCTCACAAACTGTCAATATCTGTCTGTGAAATAAAGCTACTCACATCATGCAGATGTATCCTTCTCAACAAAACACACAAACAAAGGTGATTCTC